ATGATTAATTTGAAATTTGACCAACCTATCTAACGTTAAGAAGGAATTTTTTGTTGATTTTTTTCCTAGTAATAAATTGGGCATATCTAATTTATGAAAATTTTGATGTCTATTAAAGTTTATTATTCGAAGATTCGTTGATTCAGAAAGAAATAATTTCATTAAATAAGTTGCAATGACAAGAACTTGTTGTTCTTTATACTTAACTCCAAATTTGTTCATTAAATATGAATGAATTGTACTCTCAAAGTCGTCATAAAAAAGTTCTTGTAAAAAACTAGGATAATTAATTAAAGGTTTCTTTCCGGATGAGAGGTTAATTGAATAGTAATTTTGAAATAAAGAATTTAGGTAAGAAAATTCTTGATTATCCAAGCAAGAAATACAAGTTTCTATAAATTTGTATTTATTAAGTTGCCTAAGGGCCTCTTTAGATAGGGTGCTCTTTGAATATGAATTTACGGTTGCCCAACAACCTATAATATATGAATTTCGAAAAGGGGAAGCCCAAAGTAATGGAAGTACATTTTTACACCAATATTTATTAACGAAAAGACAGGAATAAAGTCCATTTTCTTGAACATTGACATATTTAAATATTTGTTGCATACATTCCGTTGGTAATAAAGGATGAGCGTCTTGTGCTATTATTATTTGTCTTGGAATTTGTTCAACTTTGACTTTCTCATTTATTATTTGTTGTTCAGCTTGAGATTGGACTTTGAAGAGATCTATTAGAAACTGTGAACAAAATTTTAACATTACTAGTTTAACGTGCGAGAGAAATGCAAGCTGAAACAAAAGAAAAAAAAAAAAAAAAAATGTAATTCTGCATGTTTTGGCGCATTTATAATCAATGTCAATCTTTTTATTGTGCAATGAAGTTAATCAAAAGTTTACGAATTAAAATGTACAAATCGTTTCACTTTTGGAATTACCTTACCTAAATAAAATTATTACCTTCGTCCTATTGTTAAAATCGATTGCGTTTAATCCATGAATTCCATTACCTTTTTTTTTTTCCAGCGAATTTGGACTTTATTCATGCATCGTATCAATTTCCCCCCCCCAAAAAATTGAAAATGAAATTGAAAATTAAATTAAATGGAGACCAAATTTGGTGTGTAAATCACACTTTTCCAATTTGCACCACAGTCCGCAGCAAGAAAATACCTGTCTAATAATTTAAAAAACATTCTCTAAAGTTGATATGCCTAGGGTGATTATTAAGAAAGAAACGAGGATGGATGATCACGGGATCTAAATAAGTAGTATTTCTATTAATAGTTGGTTATACCGAAAAAAATATATCTATAATTGTCATTTTATTATTTATAGCAACCTAATAATTGTTGTATTTAATATGGTTAAACACTACATTGCGCTTGTCTATACTTAATATTACCCATTTAATTTGGGGCATCGAAATGAGTACTAATACGTACTTTTCTGAAACGTGAAATTCGACAGAAATTTTTTTTTCTTTCCAAAGGCATTAAAATGTGTTGGCCAACCACATGAAAATGATAAAACAATATTATATTATTGTCCCAACTTTTTTGCAAATCATTTCGAAAGGTTTCAACGTGAGCGTGAACGAGTATTTATGCTTTACGAGGAGACAATGACACAATTACAATGTTTATTACATGCATACGAAAAGAATAAAAATATTGACACAACGAGCTTCTTCTATAATGAAACCAAGTATAGTTTTGTTACGTTCTACAACAACTTCAAAGTCATTCGCGTTTGATTATCCGGAAACTTTTGTGCAGATCATTATTTTAAAGTAAATATATTAACATTTTCATATGACTTATCTTTATTATTAAAGAAAACGTTGATTATCTGCATACTTTGGCGCGTTAGGAACCAATTAGAGCTCAGAGATACCATCTCGGCTGAATAACTTTGTATCATCGCCATTCGAATCGTTTTGGAACTTACTTTCGTTTATTATATAACATGCATATAATGAGCTGCTTCATAAGATTAGGCTCACATTAAATCTACGGAGTCCCATCTGTTTTAAGACAAAATAATTGGAGTATTGAGGCTTCCATCAAAGTTTCTAACGTAAAGAAACGAGAATGTTTAACAGGTTTCGTTGCCGAATGATGTATCAGATGATTTATATGAAAGAATTGTGAATTTTGAGGATATAATTGGTGGATGTTATTCAGTGATAAATCCTTCCGAATTTCTCGTACGCGTAAATTTCGCGCCGGGTAACGATCTCGAGTTTGATAGCGCCAGATGATGTATTAAAATACAATTACTGATTGATAATAAATATCCTTTATTGATGGAGCAACTGATTATTAGAGATCTTAACTAATAATTGTAATTTTTTTTTTTTTTAAAAAAATAAATAAATAAATAATAAATTCCTTGGCGACAGAAGTTATTAGTTATTAAACACTAACCATATTAATATTGTCATTTATTATGATGTTTACTAACCTAAAGATTAACTGGGAATGGAAATATTTAAGTATAATTTGCATCTGAAACTCGTCCTGTCCAACCTACCTAAGTAAAAGAGGTTACTTACTTGTCAAATGTCTTCTCATTGTATTTCATTATTCGGGGAAGTCTAAAACAACGAACTCCAACGCTGAAAAATCAATTTGTAACTACGACTTGATATCGTGTATTTTTATTGGCCCATTTGTAGAACATGAATTAATTGATCACGTGCATTAATGTTTTTATTTTTCCTTTTTTTAAAATAAAGTTGCATTCTTCTTCTATAGGAATTTTTTTTTTTTTCGAGGTAGAGATCCTATCGTGCTTGCCTCAAATGAAGTCCTTTCATTTTTTTTTTTTTTAAAAAAAAAAAAAGGAAAAGAAAGAAAAAGAAAGAAAAAGAAGAAAAAGGAATTATAAAGGAGTTAAAAAATTGCCTAAATACGGTTTTATCACTCCCCATTTTGTTTTTTTTTTATGTAACTTTATATGGGCATAAACAAAAAGATCAATTCGTTAATTGATTTAATTGATTGATGATATTCATGAAAAATTTCTCGAACACTTTTGGATTATCATTATTCAATCGGAGTTACTGACCGATTTTGGATTATCTTTGAAGGGCAATACAAAAGAACCCTCTAGATTAACCGTTCGTGAAAATAGGAAATACATTATTGAAAGCATCTTCATTATTCAAAACATCACTAACTTGACTGTTCATTACCACATACATTCTTGGTATGTATTAAAAAAAAAAATAATACAGTATATTATAAATTATATATAATTACTTAATTGATAAAGTACATAAGTTGTACGACCCGATCAATAAGAAATGAATTACTAAAAGTAATCTAGAGTGAAATGGTATTTTTTTTGTGTTTAACTTTAATATAAATAGACAAGCACTTCATTTATTTGTAAATACTGCGGCGTATATTATTTCGTTCCATTTATTAACGCGCAAGAACCCTTTCGTCATTTTTTTTTTATCATGGTTGACCTATTTTGTTTCTTTCGTCGAAAAGGTCCATTACCAAAAGAGAAGTCAATAGAAAAGACAGCGATAAAGTTATCAGAAAAGACGTCAAGGAACGTAAATAATGTAAAAAGTGCAAGTGTAAAGACCAAACCCGCTAGAACCCACCCCCCTGTTTCACCAAAGGTCCTTCAATTAGTCTTTTCATATTTAGACAAGGAAGGATCTAAAGGGTTATTCTCTTGTCTTTTTGTAAATAAAAATTGGCATGCAAATGCTCTTAAAATATTATGGAATCGTCCGTTCACCTCAAATCCCTTATCCCCCGCCAATTCCGTTAAACTTATCGAAACTTTTATAACGTGCTTCGATACAATCACTCAAAAATCATTAAAGACATCATTGAAACGACAAAAAATCAAATTCATTATATCAAACAAACCTCCTTTATGTAATTATGCAACTTTATTAGGGGAATTATGTTATAGAGAATTAGAAAAATCAATTCACCATTATTTATGTCATTTACATATGAATAGCATCAACCATAGATCTTCCATCATGAGGAGATCATCTAAGGGATCACCTTCTCTTCAATCACTTTACCCCCAAATTCACTTGATAGCCAACAATTTATTTTTACTATTCATCCAAAAAAGTACGGTACTTGAATCTTTAATAATTGATAAATATTGTGATTATTCTAAATTACCCAACCCGGACGAAATATTTCAACAACAATTACAACAGAATTATCTGTCTCAGATCACAAAACTTGGATTGAATTATTATGAGACGAGTAACATATTTGATTTTTTGAAAGAATTGCCGGAATCATGTAAGGATCTATTGGAATTCAATGTACGAATATGCGAATATGAGAATGAAGCATTGGTTAATGAATCAATAGCCAAAGTGATCAACTCCCAACGAGCTTTGCGAAATTTTAGCATGAAAGGGGCTAGGAATGGTGGAAATTTGATTTTATCCTCATTAGGTGATACACAATCGGATACCTTAACGTCAGTCAGATTGAATTTGATGAACTTTACATCGTCGGGCATGAAATCATTGGCCAAATGTGGTCGATTAAAAGAACTTTCGTTGGAAAATTGTCAGGGACTTTCCAAGGAAATTACTAAAATTTTATTGGATGCCAAATCACAAAATTTAAGAAAATTAGTTATCTGGAATTCTCGTAAGGAATCACATGTAACCTCTTTAATGATTAAATCGGCCGTCTCCGCAAAGAAGGTATCAAAAGGGAAAGATGACGAATTAAGAGAACTAGCGTTAGATATCGTGGTTCCTGAAACGGTTGATACGGTATTAAATTATTGTTCGAATCTTACAACTTTAAAAATCCTTGATTATCAACCAAAATGCAAATCGCATATGTATAGATTATTAAAAGGTTTACCGTCCCTTGAAAACCTGATAATTAATAGAGAAACGAAAATAGAATTGGGTGTCATCAACTTTTCAGGGAGATACATACCAGATAACGTTAAATACCTAAGATTAGAATGTGGGATTACGCCAGATCAATTAAAAAACTTATTAAACGAGTTGGGAGATAAGAGCAAATTAAGAACTTTGATTTTAGATTATATTAAACTAGAAGTGGCTCATCTGAATATCATTGTTGAATGGACCAAGAGGAGAAGAACTTTAAAAACTTTAGGGATTGGTGGAAAATCCGAGCCTAGTGAGCGTGAATCAAAAGTATTGAGTCATTTACAGGAGGAATATAATGTTTTTATTATCCCATTGCATAAATTAATTTATTACTAATAGAGTTTTTTTTATTAAAAATAGAAAGTCGTAATTTTTTTTTTTTCATTTATTGTATTATACAATCATGTAGAACCATAATAAATCCCTGTTGATCATCGATTGATTGATTGATTGATTGTAACGAGCGCACAAAGCTCGTTACCATATTCACCTAAATGACGGGTGGAACATTATGATTATTATATAATGCATACCTGCATACATATAAAAATAACTACCCTTTAAATGATTCCAATTTATCTTAAGGACGTAAGCCCTTTATAATTAAAAACGTACATTGTTGTTTTCCCGCAACACGAACTTCCCAACCCAAAGATTCCGAACAATGATGGCTTATCACGTAGCAAAAGCCTCAGTATCGGTGTTTTCTATTTAGTATATGCGCTAAGCCGCTAAAAAAAAACGTTTATTTTCGAGAAAGTTTAAATATTTTGTACATATAAATTGTCCGTGCCGTTTTTTTTTTTTTACATAAACCTTCTTGGGATCTTTATGTCACATGGGATCCTTA